ATAAGTTTTTATCTTCAAATAAATAAATATTTTTTTACTATATTAAAATTTTTAATGTATTTTAAAAATTATAATTTTTATTACATGCAAGTAATAATTTATTTAATGTAACAAAACACTTTTAAAAACAAAGTATTATTTAAGTAATAAAAATCAAAATTAACAAAATATATTTATTTAATTGAAAAAAATTTTATTTTTTATGTACCACTTGCTATAAATAAGCGAGACAATTAATGCAGTCAGTCATTTGTCACGGAATCATTTGTGATTCAATTACTAATATTCTAAATTCATTGTAAAAAATCCAATAACTATTCATTAAAGATAATTAAAAATTTTTAAATTTAGTGCCGGAAATTAATTTTGAAATTTAATAACAATTTGAAATACAGTTAATTGTCGCTGCCATTAGTGTAGCACAATATTAATTATCGTTGACAATAGTGTGGCAATAGTTAAAAATAATCAAGATTCGAATTTAACACTTAATTTTGTTTAATGCCCAAGAAAGGTGACCGTCGAGTCCAAATAAAAAGGATTAAGTTACAAATCAAAAAGGCTTTACTTTCCGATCAAGATCCCGTTCCTTTCTTTATAGCTTCACAATATAAAAAGTAAAATAAATCCGGAATAAACAATTTATGGTAAATTAAAATCAATCAAATTCGAAATCACATATCCAAATTATTAATTAATCAAAAAAATCGATCTTCGTCGAAAATTTTATAAAATCCGCGAATTATTCGGACCAGAGTAATTTAATAATTTAAAACAAACGCACAATTGAAGTTTGAATCCCGGATAAATTTCTTAAATGATTTGACCCAAAAGCCGACCAAACTTTATTAAACTCAAAACGTGACAATATATTGTATATTAATGTATATTATTATTACAAGATGAGCGTGAATAGGCCAGTAAATTGTTAAAATAAAAATTAATATTAATATAATTGGAATATATTGCCAATATAGAATCCTTTATCGATATTCCCATAATTAGTAGCTAACAAGGTATTTAACTGGATGTATGTGCATACAACTCTTGACCAAAATTGATTCACATTTCGCGCATGAATCGCAGCGAGGGATTAATTCGTATCCAAGATATTATCCCATTCTGTACACATAGTATCCAAATATTCGTGTTATCATTTCCACTATCATATAACTACCTCACGTTCCCTCTGTAAACAGGGAGAATTGACCTACGCGAGGAATAGCGATCGATTCCCGTCGAGATACTGTCATTAAACTCTATTTTATAGCGATTCATCAAAATTCAACGCAAGGGGAAGATTAAAAAGCTTTCTTTTTTTTCTCGCGCGTGATAGATACGTCTTCACTTTACGTGAAAAATTCGAATTTTAGAATAATAAAAAAAATGACACGTTGTCACGAATAATCGATGATGCTTCTCCGCGAACGATGCCGAACAGAGGAAAAATTCCCCACTTCCCCGCAGGGTCAATCCGGCAATAAATCTCTCCTTTTGCCGCGCGGAAACAGGGACGTACCGCGAATCACGATTCGCCATTTACAACGAGCCGAATCCGTGTCCGAGCGGGCTCTACTACGTGTTCGTTTCACCTGCAGGATACCCAAATCCTGCCGGGGTAGTTCATCGCTCGATACACCCCCCCCCCTTTCCTGTCCCACATCCCATTGTCATTCTCCTCCTCCTCTTCCTGCTTCTCTTCGTCATCCCCTCCCGATTCCAAAGTAAAACTCTCAAACCTCTCTCTGGCAAGAAGAATCGATACACATACCTGAAGTATTCCACGTATTTGTCCGCTCTTCGTCTCGACGATGCGCGAGGCGTAGCGGGTCACAGGTTGAGAGGAAGCCGCGCGACCACGGCCGGTCAGGATCAACAGGACGAGCAGCAGGGCGAGTCCTACGCGAGGATAGTAGCGGCTCCGTAGTCTGATCTGAGTCCACTGAGTTGCGACCAGCGGCCAGATGCGGACCGCCGGCTGGCATGGCAGCGGCATGACAGCATTTGCTGGCCACCTGGAGCGACGCCACTAGCATAACCGTACGGCGACCTTGGTCGTCGGTATCGGACAGGGCAGCCGGGCCAACCGGTCAGATGTGCGTGTCTGGCCGGATGTGTCTGGCTCCGGGGATGAGGGCAATTCTCCGACAGAGAGATCGCTTAATTCGTTCGCGACGGATGGCACGTGAACTTTGCCCCGCCGAGGTCCCGCATCACGGGATAGTCACTCTCTCCTTCCGCGCGTTTTATCCCGCGGCTCTCACCCCAACGACGACGTCCTCCCTCCACTCCCGGCGCGCTGGAACTGGCACTCTTCGACCGGGATCCAAGTTAAATTACTCTCAAAACATCTTGAATAAGAAAGTTGGGAAATGGCCGGGCCTCCATTGCTGCAGCAGGCTTGGGACGTCTCTGCAAACAAGCGAGAATTCCATATAACAAAACATCCGCAAGATTTCTGCCAGTTTAGTTTCGGTAATAAGAAATTTTTGCGCGTTTGTCAAAGAGACGAAAAAAATTAATTAGAATTACAATTCTTTTTTTTTTTTTTAATTTTGCGGGTTAATAAGAGCTAGACGTAGGAGATGTTTCAAAGTTTCAAAGAAAATCAACTAGTTTTACTCTAAAATTGTACACAGAATAAATTTTTCCAAGTATTATTATTATTTATTTATTTATTTATTCTTAATTCGTGCCTTACGGCTTCAAGTTTTACATTTGTAATTTGGTTTTGTGTTAGTGTGTCTGTAATGTCTATATTATTCCATTGAATATAATATATAAATAACACATAAATGAATAAACAAACATATATTATTAATTGAACCTGAATAGATAAATCTAAACTTCACGAATAATATAAATAACAAAAATAAGGTACAATATAATCAAATAGAATAAAATTAAATAAATTAAGCTGACCTCTCTCTCTCTCTCTCTCTCTCTCTCTCAACTAAAGTAATATAAACTCCAATAAATAAACTCAAATAAAAATTAAAATGAAAACAAAAATAAAAACTACAACTGAAATAGCTCTGAAATAGCTCTCTATAAATTTTTCTAAGTAAATTTGTCTTGATTCTGTACCAAGTATAAATAAATCTCAATTCAAGATTGAAACTGACGTACCATCATCCTGCGTCTGACTCTTATTAGCTCGCAAAATTTAAAAAAAATTATGATTCACATGAGAGCTTTATTAATCTCTTATTTGTAAATTAGAATTACTTGTCGCGGATATCGGAACTTTTATGCGCAAGCACGAGAATTTCGTTATCGCAATTATCCAAACCGGGGGAATGCGTTCCGCGATAAAATCTAGGTACCTTTTCAGCCAAAGCCATCGCCCACGCGAGAACGGGCTTTTGTTCACGCTTATAATTACAACAATAGGTCTATCAATGCGAACGAATCGCGCTAACGCCGATGGGATTGCTGCGCCGTTCGTCAATTTTTTTTCTTCTTTTTTTTTTTTTAATCGTTGATCCATTTGATACCGCGTCCGGTTTTGCGGTGAATCCGCTCGGTGCGACGCGCTGATGAACGGACGCGATCCGATCGATCGGCAGTTTTCGAATTTATGGAACTCGCCGATCCGGTAGTCCGGTCGCGCGCGTGAATGTGCGATTAATGCGTTTAACCGAATCTCAATCACTTTATTAATTAATCCCACCGCACGATCGACGCAACGCTCGGCCATTAAATGAATCGAATCTGCCGTTGTCGAAATCGCGGCTATAATTAAATCCAAATTTATCCTTACATTCCAAACTCTAAATTCAATACTTGTATTTAGAGAATTATTAGATGCATATTAAAGTCTAGAGAATCCTCCGAATTATCTCTGTTGTGTCTCATTAATCGTATGCAAATGTATTTGATAGAATTTAATAAACGCTTAGAGTGTTCAAAAAGTAAACATACATAAAAAAAGTTTCTAATATAGTTGTATTAATCGTTATGTTTTCGAAAAATTATATTCACTCAGAATTATATTGGTTTTCACAAAGACGTTGCTTCACAATGTTAAGTCTCAATCGGGTTGAATCTCGCACGTGAATAAACTGTACGGCATTGCGAGCGCCGTATTATCTTAAGTCCTGCATTGTCGGAGGCGCGAAAGAAGAGAGGCAAGAGTGCTGGAGAAATACGACGAAGTGGTTGAACGAAGAGCCGAAGAGCGAGGATAAACGAGATATACGAAGGATTGCGGGAGGATAGAGATAGCGTGGCACTGATTGCACTGAGAAACTTATCTCACCGCAGGACATCTCGCTGATCAACCGTCTCCTTCTGGTTTCAATCCCTCTCGTTTCCCAGCCCCATCCTCGCCATCCTTTTCCCCGCACTACGTTTCCGCCTTAGGGTTTTAGCGGCGGCGCCGCCGCCGCCACCGTCGTCGCCGGATCGCTTCGCTAAACTTTCCCGTCCGTTAACGATATCGCCGCCAATGGCCGATTTAAATTTTTAATCGCGACTACATTATCCCCCGACGGTGATTGGCGCCGTCCGCTTAAATCTCGTCGGTCGACAGTTTTCTTTCCGTTCGCTGCTCCAAATTCAAAGCTGACGGGAAACTAATTAGAAAGCGAATTGTGCGTGCACAGTTGGAAAATTTATGTTTTCTTGTTAAAAAGTATGCCGGTTAAAATTTTTATGTTAAATATTTAACACATTTATATGTTAATTTAACATATTGCTGTTGTGATAGTTTAACTCAAATATTAACTTATTGAAACAACTGAAAAAGGTGTAAAAATAATATAATGTGCACATATTTTTAATTTTACACGATAAATATGTTCCGTATTATTAGTGACAGAATTTATCTGTTAAAATTTACAGAAAAGAATGTTGATTTTATCCATAAAAGTGAGAGTGACTACAGATACAGTCAATAACATTTTTCCAAGTTAATTTTATCACATTAAAAATATATTGATTTTACATAAAATTTATTTCATATTACTATAAAGTTTGCATTCATTTTATGTTGGAATATTAACATAATATTAATGTTACCATTTAACGTACCATATTATGTTAAATTAACACAGAAATTTGTGTGAATCGTTTGGGACATGCGATATATGTTAAATTTAAGCCAAATTTTCAAATAGCGTGTGAGATTATGGATACAAAGTAAATTTTGATTTTTTAAACTTGTTTGATTGCAAAAAGATTAGTCTTGTTCTAAAATTGGTTTTCCTTATTCTCTCTCTACCTTTCTTCTTGCCTTGTCATCGCATTCAAATATTCTCAAGCAATAATTTCCCACAGACTAATATAGAGATCATTATTATTCTTTTAATTATTTCGTTAAATTTCATCATCGTGTTTTAATGGATTTCCGCTGTAACTTTCTACACAGCGCGCGCACATATATTATAGCTTGTATTATTAAACTTTTAAGTAAATCCAATTTACTCGGCGCAGATGCGTTTCCGTGTCGCCGTACGTTATAACTCGGCACGTTATTACGTGATATGATTTATTTAACGTAAATGGATAGCAACGAGCGGGACGAGAAATATATGGTGTCTTTTGGCGATTGCATCATATCTCGCATTCTCCGCGGTGGACATCGACAACAATGTTTTCGTCGGAATGAAAAATTGCCGACGATACGGTATGGCCGTCGGGGAATAACTTTTTACGATAAATTACAACTCTGATATTCAGAAGTTTCCAATGTGGGAAGAGATAGAGTCCCTTGTTCCGGTTTCATTTTTTCGCAAATCGATGCGCCATGCCGGGTCTCTCTCTGCTTCATTATGACATCGCAATTTACGTTTGTTTTCTCGTGTGCCCGGATGAAAATCTATCTCGCGCCAGAATTTATTATCGCGATTATACCGAGGGCTTCGCGCCCGCAATGAGAGAGGCGAGTTCAAAGGGGAATTCAATCGTTATCGGACTCACGTGCGTTTGCCGAATCCATTATGCATCTTGCCTAACGGATTTAACCCGATATAGAGCGATATCGATCCTAATGAAATCTCGGCTCTCGTAAGAGCGGTGATCGATAATCGCGATTAGATCGGCCAACGTTGGGTCAATTCGGTTATCGCGCGAGTAACGCGCGCGCGAGACTTTCAGTCATTCGGTGGAACGGAGAACCGGGACTAATTTAATTCAAGCCCCAATTATCGGTCGTACCGATCCCCCAGGCGGCTCTAACTTTCGCCTCCCGATATAGCGTTCACGGGGTTCCCGAAGGATTCCCGAGCGATTCTGAAAACAGACGTGCAGTAATATAACTACGCGGGCGTATAAGGCGGCCGCTTGTACCGCACCACTTTATCTTCGGTTTCTGACGTTTCATTCGCGAAAATCAAGCGAAAGAAATTGATATCGACGAACCTCCGCGTTCGCTATCGCGGCGCTTTCCCGCCGCGATACCGAATTATAGCCTCGTCATTTTTCAAGTCAGCCAATCTGGCCATTTTTAAATCCTACAAACATTATTCGTCATTTACGCGCGTCTTTGCCTCGATATACCAAAAGTAATTAATATCCATTACGATATCCATTTTAAATCGCTGTAATAGAGTATAATTTATTATTTTACGCTCATGTAAATATTATCGCAATTTTTATGTAACATCCTGTATATGTATCATATTGCGAAACGTTCCTCGAAAACTTTAATTACGAAATATATATATATTTCGAATTACGTATGTTCTCGTTATTGTACACTATTTGTGCCGGCGTATTATTATAGCCATTACGATAAATTAAAGCCGACAGCGTTTACCATTCCAGAGACAAGCTTATTTTTCAAGATCCCTGTCAAGATTCCTCCTCTTTATAACAGCACCAGTAAATTGCGCGCACTCGAGGACTTTCTAAATTCTTCGAAATTATCTCTTTGAGATGTTTCGCGGATTGCACGTGAGCAGAGTCCCAAGACACCGTCATTCTTCGTACTTCGATTCGCGAACATCCAGCGTTTGTAGGAGACGAGCGAAAAAGAGAGAAGGATGACTTATTAAGGCGAAGGAAGAACGAGTTCTCCCCGTCTCTCCACCTGCCGATGATTTGACTTTATAATCGAGTCAGCCTCGTTCAATTACAATGGAATCTCTTGTGGAATTTGCCGCAAACAGTACGCGATTCAGTGCGGCCTGATCGTGCACTACGGTAAATATTCTCCCGGTCGACGCCGGATGCATAAGCTATGCGCGACGAATGATTTTCCAAGCTCATGATTAATTCACGGTCGGAAAGTGCTGTTAGTTCCACGAAAGAGGAAATGTTATTTAGTAGACGTTGTTGGTACCGAGAGCATGAAAAATGTTCGCTGCATATTTAAGTAATATCTAAGCAACATATATTGTATATATATATTATTCAAGATATACAAATGGTATTAATATTATATTAATAAGAGAATTGTCGATATAATACTACGTGTTAATGCGAGCTTATTCAAGATCATTTATTTACGTTGACACATTCTATTATTTTTAACTAATCTCACAGAGAAAACTCATACATACATGGATATTTTATATTCCTGTATAATAATATTCATTGATGCCGTGTGCGGTCAGAGATCGATATGAAATATTTATCAGAATGTAGTGCTTCGCGGCGAGCTGAAATTCAATTGAAAATAGGAAATCGGGATTCGACGAGAGGGCCATTCGAGAGGAAATTCACGCCCGGGACCAAGCCTGTTTTCCTAAATACTGGGAACTGTTTATCGAGCAAACACATCTGGATGAATACGATCGGCGACATTCGGTTCGATCGGTATCTCTTCAATATTTTATGCTAAAATAGCCGGGGGAACTTGATCACACGCGTGAACGCGTAGGTCGCCACCACTCATCGCTCATTAATGTATTCATTAAATGGGTCCTCAATTTTGCCAGTCAACCCCGTCGCGCTTAATTCGAAAATATCATCGCAATTTTTCGCAACATAAATTTTTGGCGAACCGATTAAAATTAGTTTGCGGTAAAACAATCGTTTCATTCTCCTTTCTATATCAAGGGTTTAAATCCGGTAAAAGAAATAGTTGTCTATGTTTAGAGTTTCCATTATATAAAACGCGTTTTTGCATCAATCTTTAATTTTATATCTGATAAAATACATTTTATTAAAACAAAAAAAGTAATATTGTTAGTAATAAAATTGCCATATCGTACATGTACTCGTATGAATGATACGCCAGTATTTTTAAGAGTATTATAGAGTTTGCGTAAAATAAGAGAGAGAATTGATTATTGGCATGATTCTCGAAAAAGCAGTGATACTTTATACGCAATTGATGCGACAGTCAAAGTATTGAAAACTTTTGGACGATTACGATATATACATATTTATATGTATACACATGATCCTTTCGGTTATTATATAGTTTAACTGCCAAACCGCGAAGAGGGGGCGGCCTCGTTGGTCGCATCTCTACGAGCGAAAATAAGCGCGATTGAAGTACTTAATGGGAGTACGTCACGCTGACCGCAGATAACATGGTTGGACCGACCGCTGGTGAATAGTTGAACGACTGCAGCGGTAATTTTCGGATGGTGGGCCGGAAGCGCGCCTTTCGGATGCCTGTTATAAACGTTAAATCGATTAGGCGAGACCCGAGCTTTTACGCGCCGGGCACAAATCGCATTTTTAACGCTATAGCGAATGCGCAAAACAGCACCGCGGATTTGCGGTACTCTATCAGAATCGACTTGGACGAACGTCGATTACGCGCGCACAGATAACATACAATGCTTTCTTTCTTCGGTTGCTTTTTCCGTACGGTTTATTTTTACAAGAATCGCAAAATTCTATTATATCGATTATAAAGGCGGGAAAAGAGAAGAAGGGGGTGGGGAGTAAGTACCAGGGTGAGTGATAGTAAGTACCAATAGTTTAGAAAACTGCAGTGGCTTACGCCCTGCATCCTGCATGTCAATGCGTTTTTATACCGCGCGACGCAATGCGACATGTCACGCATGTCGGAGCTTTTCGGGGAAACGCGCGAGAGCATTTTATTTCGGCAGAATCTGTAAGCCGGCAATCACCATCGACGTGTATTTACAGTCGGTTTAATGCAGCCGATACCATCGGCGTCTATCGGCATATTCGACAACGCTAGAAAATCGATAGCACTACGCTGGCGAAACGAACGCACGAGTTGTTTACGACTTGAGATATATTTACCAAGATTCCAGAATATTCGCGTCGCGAATTAAAATTCTAATTCACAAAAAAGCTCGAGAATTTTGCTTTATTATATTCCGCGATATTTAATTCATTGACTTTTCAATTTTGTATCGTTTATCTCATTCATAGAAAGCGAAAAAAAAAAAAAAAGAAAAAAATTAAATTTGTTTGCTTTTGAAAAGCGATATGTGATAAAATGTGCAATCTATTCTTAATATCCATTTGCTGATTTATATATTTAAATTTCGAGCAGTTTATATAATATAAATCTGAATATCTCGCTTTTGAAAAGCTCACTTCGAAGAGAAAAGCTCGCGATTCTTGTTTGTCGAATTTGCCTTGCAACAGAGTCTCTTTATTTTCTATTTTCACACTGTGCACGGAATATCCTACAATACGCTATCGTACCTTCTTCGTGGAGTAGCCGGCGCGCTGAAATCTTCCGCCGAGATTAAATGACTTCCAGTTGTATAGAATCTTAATGCCGGAAGGCGCTACTTTGCCGGAGATACAGAGCGCGTTTTCCACGAAACGGCTTCAAGTAAGATTTAATGTTTCGTGAAACACGGAGTACAGATTAAAATGCCTTAGATCGGATTTACCTTCGTTGCTGTATTAAGCGCGATTTTAGAAATATTTGTATTCGCTCGAATAAGTTGAGGTTAACGGGCAACGAATGCCCGTTTTATCGATAATTATTCTCCTCATTATTCTTTCTATACATACAAGAACAGAAATTATACAAAAAAAAAGAAAACAAAACACACACACACACACACATATATATATAGCATATATGTTATATCTAAATATACATATATATTTATATTTAATTTTTGATTTTTGTTTTTTTCCTCAGGATTTTCTTAGATCCTTTTTTAAATCCTTTTTCTTCGCAAGAATTAGATAAAGACATAAATTAAAGAGGTCAAATAAAAATAGATTGTTTTAAAATATCTCCGTAAAATATTTGGACAGAAAAGACGGATTATATATTTCACAATACCATTATACATATACATACATGTGTCAATTTAGAGACTTTCATCATGATTTTATAAACTATTCACTTAAAAAGTTAAACTTTCAATATTATTTCCCTGTACGCTCAATATACATTAATATATAATCAAACAAGCTAGTAAATAATCTGTAAATGAATTTAAAAATCATACCTTAATAATAAAATTTCGATGAGCGTATCTATTTCACGACGTTCCAACGGCTCGTGGCGTCGCGGTCAATATGTCGCGTGAAGTTAGCCGCTGACGCATGCGTGTGGCGCGCGTGTCGCACACTTTGGGCAACCTTGCGTCGCGACTCGCGACGATCCACAGTGGCAGTGCGAAAGAGCGAGGTGGTGAGTTCGTTATTTTTATCGTTTCAATTTTGTGGAAAGTTGTCGTTCCTAGATGTAAAAAATACGCGGAAATAAATATACTCTCAGGAAGGATATCGTATGCCAAGGTAAATATCGATTTTTTAAGACACTTCTTATTTTATATACTAAGATTTCGACGATCAAACTTAAAATTTTGAACTTTTTTGATACCATCTTGATCTCTACATAATATATACAATTTATTGTTGACAAAATGCAAATTATTTGCGCAAATTTTGCAAACCTCAGCTTGAAACTCTTATTTTGGTGATCATAACCTAAACGTACAAGTGATGTCAATTGATGAACCGTCTCGGTTATTACGATGCGTTTGTAATAAGTTTATACGGAGAAAATGTTATATAGTCATTTTTTAAGAAAATGTAAAAGGTATGAATATAATATTGTTAATCTCTTTCTTTTCTTGTTTATGTGTGCAGTCTGAGACAAGATGTCGACGTCAGCAATATACATCTTGGACGTAAAGGGCAAGGTGTTGATCTCGCGCAACTACCGTGGCGACATCGAAACTGGTGTCATAGAAAAGTTTATGCCACTTGTGATGGAACGCGAAGAGGAAGGTAATCTTACTCCGATCATTCAGACACCAGAGTGTACATATGCGTATATAAAATATAACAATCTGTATATCGTATCTACTACGAAGAAAAATGCGAACATATCCCTGGTATTTGTATTCTTGCACAAAGTGGTGCATGTCATGCAAGAATATTTCAAAGAATTAGAGGAAGAAAGTATACGAGATAACTTTGTCGTCATTTATGAGCTCCTAGACGAGTTGCTGGATTTTGGCTATCCTCAAACCACCGATAGCAAGATTCTGCAGGAATATATTACTCAAGAGGGTCACAAACTGGAGATTCAACCCAGGATTCCTATGGCTGTGACCAATGCTGTCTCTTGGCGATCAGAGGGCATCAAATACCGCAAGAACGAAGTTTTTCTAGATGTAATAGAATCTGTGAATCTTTTGGCGAATGCCAACGGAAATGTTTTAAGCTCGGAGATCGTTGGTGCCATAAAGATGAGAGTTTATTTGTCAGGGATGCCAGAATTAAGGCTAGGTCTCAACGACAAGGTCCTATTTGAGTCGACAGGACGCGGCAAGTCAAAATCTGTGGAACTGGAAGACGTCAAGTTTCATCAATGCGTCAGGCTATCACGTTTCGAGAACGATCGTACGATCTCGTTCATCCCGCCGGATGGTGAGTTCGAGCTCATGTCATACAGACTGAATACACACGTGAAACCCCTGATATGGATCGAATCCGTGATCGAGCGACACGCTCACAGCCGAGTCGAATATATGATAAAGGCGCGATCGCAGTTCAAGCGTCGTTCGACGGCGAACAACGTGGAGATTGTGATCCCTGTGCCGAACGATGCCGACTCGCCCAAGTTCAAGACCACAATTGGCAGCGTCAAGTATTCGCCCGAGCAGAGCGCCATCACTTGGATCATTAAGTCTTTCCCCGGAGGCAAGGAGTACCTCATGAGGGCTCACTTTGGTCTGCCGTCTGTAGTCGGAGAAGACGTCGAGGGCAAACCGCCTATACAGGTGAAGTTCGAGATACCGTATTTCACTACGTCCGGTATCCAAGTGCGATACTTGAAGATTATGGTTATCAGGCCCTACCTTGGGTGCGTTATATCACGCAGAATGGAGATTATCAGCTGCGGACGAATTAGCTAATTGACAACGGGGTGGACGACATCAGGATCTCGGGCGTTATGCCCGAGTACGAGGACTAATCGAACGCGTAGTATGCTTCAGAGCGAATTAGAATCGACGGTAATCGTTTATCATTCCAATACAATGTGGTGGAAAGATGACGCGGAATACGATACAAGAACAAATTGGATTTTCGAACATCGATCTCTTCTTCGTTTCGATAAATTTCACGTTTATTCTGCACGTTCCGCATTTTTTAATATTTCTCTAAAACAGGATAATATGCATGGTGAAAACATTCTCTTTACGGACATTTCACATTTGAGATGATTCGCGTCTAGAGTATTTAATCTAAATGGGTTTTTTCATCGATATCGATAGAGTAAACTTTGTACATCTCCCAATTTATTTTTTAAACACGATGACATTATAAGGGCGTCTAATAAAACATAACTGCAACCTTACGTGGAAATCATATAAATAAATCGGCAATTTATTTTATAACATTTTCCTTTGACAAGGCAAGTTTATGGACGGGCAGAAAGGCTCGGTAATTATAAAATTTAAAACTCTAGATAGTATTATATAAATAAAGATTAAATATATACCAATATCACGTTTAATAATCGTAATATTACTAGATTTATGTCGTTACAACACATATTAATGTAAGATAATATAATGATATATTAACTATCGCGATAAGTGACGCCTTCGTGGTCCAGGTACGTCGTATCGAGAAAAGAATGACGTCCGCATGCTTATCCCGTATTCATCGGTAGTACCGAACGAATTTTTTTCTCTCCCTTTTTTTTCCTATTCCTTTCTTTTTTATCTCGGTCCGCTCACCCTGTTACGAGCTGCATTACGGCGCGCCGGAATGCGACGGACGTAGATAGCGATGGTAATGTTCGGTTACTGCATAGATAGTAATCGGCCTAGAAATGGGTAAAGGGGGGTTGTTACGAGTGAATTAGCGAGTCCGCGTGCACGTGCAATGTGTTCGAAGTAGCTGCTAGGGATCCCCGAGAATCGGTTTGATGCGAGAAGTTTTTGTACAACGGGAAGACGTATCGCACGTAATTAATTACCGTAAGTTACGTAAGAAATTAATTATTAATATTTTTAGAATTATATAAAAATTAATACAATTAATTATATAATTTGTTAGGCTCGATCTAAATATATATTTTTTCATATCGATCAGTTATACTCTTATGTTATTTCTTCGATCATGTTATTTCTCTCTATCTGGTATCGTATTTTTTTGATATTTCTATTACTACACACACACACACGGTTTTATTATAGTAATTGCTTCACGATAAGAATCTATTGCCAGAAAAATCGATAGAAGGCGGCGCACCGTGAATGATAAAGCGTTCTATTTCTAAGCAAAACTAGATATATTATAGAAATGATTTTTTCTTATAATATTATTTCCTATCGCATTTTCATTTCTTTTCGTTGTAATATAATATCTGCTACCTATTCCCTTAAAAATTCCCGTTCCTTGGAAAAGATGATTGAAGATTGCTCGGATACGCTACATTGGAAATGGCATAAGCGTTCGTCGGTGCGAATAAAATGATAAATATTTCAACGAGAGAAAGGAGGGGGGCGGGGGGGGAGGGACACGAAAACGCGATTAGAGCGAAATGGTGGAAGCCGAAAACTTTTTATTTCGGCCTCTCTTCCTCGCCCTACGAATGCTCGCGGTATGCAAATTTTTTTTTGGCATGAACGCGCACGAGCGTGTAATAATTTTATGGAAATCAGTAGTCTCGCCAAGCACAGAATTTCACACGCGTGCGCGCGCGACGCGAATCAGGAAGTGGTATGAACCACGAGAGAAAAAAATCTCTCTCTCTCTCTCTCTCTCTCTCTCCACTATCGCGATAAGTGACGCCTTCGTGGTCCAGGTACGTCGTATCGAGAAAAGAATGACGTCCGCATGCTTATCCCGTATTCATCGGTAGTACCGAACGAATTTTTTTCTCTCCCTTTTTTTTCCTATTCCTTTCTTTTTTATCTCGGTCCGCTCACCCTGTTACGAGCTGCATTACGGCGCGCCGGAATGCGACGGACGTAGATAGCGATGGTAATGTTCGGTTACTGCATAGATAGTAATCGGCCTAGAAATGGGTAAAGGGGGGTTGTTACGAGTGAATTAGCGAGTCCGCGTGCACGTGCAATGTGTTCGAAGTAGCTGCTAGGGATCCCCGAGAATCGGTTTGATGCGAGAAGTTTTTGTACAACGGGAAGACGTATCGCACGTAATTAATTACCGTAAGTTACGTAAGAAATTAATTATTAATATTTTTAGAATTATATAAAAATTAATACAATTAATTATATAATTTGTTAGGCTCGATCTAAATATATATTTTTTCATATCGATCAGTTATACTCTTATGTTATTTCTTCGATCATGTTATTTCTCTCTATCTGGTATCGTATTTTTTTGATATTTCTATTACTACACACACACACACGGTTTTATTATAGTAATTGCTTCACGATAAGAATCTATTGCCAGAAAAATCGATAGAAGGCGGCGCACCGTGAATGATAAAGCGTTCTATTTCTAAGCAAAACACACCGGCAAACGACGATAACGATAGCCAGTGATCGGCCAGCGCAAATATTAGCAGTATCGATTGCGCCGATATCGTAATTAATACGTTAGACTCGTTCAATTAAATACGAGCAGGAAACGAGAGAGTTCTTAACGTCTGAAACGAAAAGGATCTTTTGAAGAAAAGAGAAAAAGAAGCACATTTTCAATTCGAAACTCTAGGCGAATACAATCGCGCCGGTGGAATTCGAGTCGAATAATTCCGGAGGATTCATCTCCTCTCTTTCTCTCGGTATGTAGAGCCGTTAATAAAAAAGGCAAATTTACGCCGGTCGAGTCGGTAACACGTCGAGGAAATCCGACCTGATCGCAAGATACTTGGCGGCGTAATGGGATGCGCGCGAAGGAGCTCCTGAGAATTTCCCTGACTCCGTCGCGCACCTCCAACATCCGTCTCATCCGTTCTTGTCGGCAACGTAGAAAATTCAGGCAGAGAGAGAGAGAGAGAGAGAGAGAGAGAGACGATTTAAAGTTGCATCCGCGTCTCGCGTGAAACTCTCGTCCGTCATCCCGAGCCGATTTTCTCTCTTTCTCCCCGGTCTTCCGGCGTTTTCCGCGATATTAAAACTTATTCTGGAAAATATATGCGCGTAGTCTAGACGAGTATACACCCGTATACGGCGAAAGAAAGTTTTGCAAGTTTGCGACTCGTATTAACGAGCCGCGCCGCGAATCGATATCGATTCGCTGTGTTAGCGTCAGCGCAAGAACTGAGTAATTTGGTCGCCGCGCTTAAGCGTGGAGAGTATGCACTTACACATCCCTGTGGAAATTCGCGAACTTCGGAGACTCTACGGGACCGAAATTCCCGCGTTTAGCGCTAATTGCCGAGTATCCGTCCGAAACTCGAGCAATACATCGGTCAAGTGTTTTCCACTGCAAATTTAGCGTTAAACGCGCACAGCTTGAACCCTATTGTGTATTACGCAATTGGGTCAGGTTCTAGCACCTGTTCCGTTGAGGATAAAAAAAAAAAATGTTAAAACAATGGCAAAAGTTGAATAGAAATATAACAATGCGCCAACATTGAAAAAAATGTACTAAATTCAAAAAAATTGTTTTTGATTTAAATTATTTATTTAAATACTTAAATAGAAAAATAGACATTGTTATACCACATTATATAAAAAACTGACCGAAACTTTAGATAAAGCGACTGCAGTTTTTTTTTGCAGACACACTGTCTGAATTTTCAGATATACTCTTCTGAACTTTCAGAAAAACGGTTTTGATGATTAAGACAGATTGTCTAAAATTTCTTTCAGACATCCAGATCTGAAAATTTAGACAAAAATGTGTCTGAATTTTTAGAAAATTTTTTACAGTGCATTCAGCTTTTTTCTATACCATTTCTTTCTATCTTTAACGAAACAGGTGTTTAGAACCCGGCCCAACACATCCTATATATCCTGTATCCACGGACTGAAGATCAAATGTGAGATATTAAACGAGATAAAGACTCGACGACGCGATTAGCCGCGAATTTATGCGGGATACATTTCGATATTTAAAACTGAGGAGATCGCGCGTTCCATATTTCCACGTTTTGCTGAAAAGTAGTAAAACCGCTGGAAAGGCGGCTTTTTACCCGCGCATTGTAATTTACATCGTGTATTATGGCTTGTATAACCCCCATTAAATACGCATGCTCGTGTATTAAACACGACTGCAATATTCCGCGCGCGAGGGAGAAAATGATATTAAAATAATTTCGTTGCAGATATATTCCTCGGCTAATTATGCGCGGGACGCTTCTCTCTCCCATCTACATACATAATGACATGCACAAAATGGAAATATCGAGCTGCTATGAAATCAATTATTGTTGATAATATTAATCATCAATTGTGCTCATTGAAACTCCCACCTTTTCTCTTCCCCTACTTTCAACATAATTATTCGTGCGTACATGATACAATATTACACAATGTAACATGCGAAAGGGGAGTGGGGGGGGGGAGGGGGATCTTCTTGAAGAGAATGTTTTAATGAAATTTCTATGTCTAAGTAAGTAGCTTCGAAGCAACGAAATATTACATAGTTGTCTATCTCTCTCACAGCATTCAAAGCTACTTTAAATAGTTATCATACTCCCGTCGTGTTTCCCATGCTATTAAATTACAGGATCTTTCTACGTTATCGGAGAGTGACTTAGTTAAAAATTTGGAAATTTACCTCTGCCGGGTAAAATATATATCTCTCTCTCTCTCTCTCTCTCTCTCTCTCTTTCTCTCGACGAGAATGAATAAAACATATTTTTCATTTTCATACGTGCGTTACATATTCATTGTATACATGAAATATATATACAATATACTGGTCAGTAACAATAATTTTTTAACTATTCGCGTATATACAGGCACATGCGCGCTCACGCACACATACATATTCTTAGAGATATACATATATGTGCATAGAATCGCGAAAACAGGTATATGCATCCGCTAGTGCGTTAAAATACAGATTGTGAAATCGCGGCTTTTACAAATTCGGCGCGATCGACGAATTGAATTATTCGAGACGGTAAATTCCGATGTCAATTCGGTTTACAATCGTCCTGATGAAACTCCGCGTCAAATAGCCACGTTTGTGACTAATTGCGCGCTTTCAATATATACGAAGCGTACCGTTGCATTTCCGCACTCATCTATACGTCCGCGCGTCATTAATTTGGAAACTATGTTGAAAATCACCGACGAATGTCGACACCCGTTCGCTCACACGTGGACCCGATTAAATCGAGACCTTTTAATTGAAATATTTTATAAATTTTTTCTAGGCGGTTAACTAATTATTTGTTAAAAAAAAAATGTGTTGACAGATTCCTTTACGGGCATTGTAAAGCAAAGTCCACTCGACGCATTTGGTGGGGGGGGGGGGGGGGGGGGGGGAGGGGTCAAATTACTTAAAAGAAATTGCATCAATTTTATTTCTCTTATGTCCCCCCCCTCCCGTGTGCTCTTCCCCTCCCCCTGTAAACTCGATTAAATCGAGAATTTCTTTAATAAAAATATTTTATTAATTTTTCGAGGTAGTTAAGTAATGATTTGTTTAAAGAA